GGTTCAATATACGCAAATCCATAAATGTAATATACCGTATTAACAAGGCCAGGGACAAAAAGTAGACGGAGGAAAAGTATTTTACAAAGTCCAGCACCCAATTATGATAAAAACAACAGAAAATTGGAATACATGATCTTTATCTCAATCTGATAAAGGCTATGTATGGCAAACCAACCAATAGCCATCATCATACTAAATAGACCAAAAGGGCCAGCCAGATAGCTCAGCAGATTAAAATGCCTGCCTAGGGCTGGGGAGATGGCTCAGTGGAATAAGAGCTTCCTTGGCAAGCACAAAGGCCTGAGTTCAAACCCTGGTTCCGCAAAAAAAAAAAAAAAACAAAAAGCCTGCTTAGGCAGACACAGGGACTGGATTCAATCCCCGTGAGCCATGCCAGCCCCACCCCAGGGGTGCTGAGGGAAACTGAGACTGGGCGTGGTAGTGTCCACCTATAGTCCCAGCGCTTGGGAGGCTGCACAGAGAAGAATCACTACAAGTTCAACCTATGTAGTGAGACCCTGTAGGTCCTGTACTAAATACATAAAATATAAATAAATAAATAGACGGAAACTGAAAGCTTTCTCTCTAAAATCAGGAACAAGACAAGGATGTCCAATGTCTCCAATAATTCAATATAGTCCTGGTAACTTTAGGCAGAGCAATTAGACAAGAGAAACAAAAGGAAAAGTGACAGGAAAGAAATTAAATTATCATTATCTATCTGCAGATGACATGATACTCTACATAGAACCCCACAACTCCTTTAAAACCCTGCTGTATTTAATAAGCAAATTCAGTAGCATGACTGGATACAAAGTCAACACCAAAAAAATCAAAAGCCTTCCTGTACACAAATAACAAAGTTAATGAGAAAAATTAGGGAAACAAGACTATTCATAATAGCATTCAAAAAAAAAAGAAAGAAATACCTAGGAATCAACCTAACGAAGGAAGGATATAAAAGACCTCTACATTGAAAACTACAGTATTAAGAAAAAATTAAAGAGGGTATCAAAAAACGGAAAGGCTGGTGAGATGGCTCAGTAGTCTAAAGCACCTACTTAGAACAAGCTTAGCAAAGCACAGGGACTGCGGTTCAATCCCCCAGCATCACATGCCAGCCAGCCCCGCCCCCTAGTGGGCTGAGCTGGCCACACACACACACACACACACACACACATAAATAAAAAAATAAAAATAAAAAAATTTTTAAAAACCCAGAAAGATATCCCTTTTCTTGGGTAGCAAGAACCAATGTAATGAAAATGGCCATACTTTTCCAAAACTGTTAAACAGATTTAATGCAATTCTGATCAAAGGGGCTGGTGAGATGGCTCAGTGGTCTAAAGCACCTACTTAGAACAAGCTTAGCAAAGCATCAGGGACCGCGGCTCAATCCCCCAGCGCCACATGCCAGCCAGCCCCGCCCCCTGGTGGGCTGAGCTGGCCACACACACCCCTCTCTCTCTCTCTCTCTCTCTCTCTCTCTCTCTCAAATAAATAAAAAAAAATTTAAAAAAAAAATTCTGATCAAAATTCCAACAGTATATCTCACAGAACTAGAGAAAAACAATCCCAAAATTCACTTGGAACCAGAAGAGACCTGGAATAACAGCAAAGGCAATTCTGGGCAACAAAGGCAAGGCAGGGAGCATCACAATCCTTGACTTGAAATTATACTACAAAGCTACTGTGATAACGGGGGGGGGGGGGTCCCCCCACAGACCTGAAGATCAATGGAACAGATTGGAAGATGCGGAAACAACTCCAAACATACTCAACCACCTTATCTTTGACAAAGGTGCTCAACACATTCACTTGAAGAAAACCTCTAGTTTTTCTTTTTACCTCATTATGCAGTATACTAAATTTGAAATGGATCAAATCTAAATATTAAGATAGTACAGGGACTAGGCTGGCTTGCTGTAATGCCAGCGCTTGGGAAGCTAAAAACAGGAGGATCACTATGAGTATGATATGTGTAGTAAGACCTGTAGACGCTGTACTAAATAATTTTTTTTAAAAGGCCAGCAAGATAGCTCAGAGGTCCAAAGTGCCTACTTTAGACCAGGAGCAGGGGACCAAGGTTCGATACCTGACACCACATGCTACACCAGCCCCAACCTCAGGGTGGGCTGAGCCAGCTCCCCAAAAAGAGAACAGGAGGGCCGGCAAGATAGCTTAGTGGAGGGGCTGGTGAGATGGCTTGATGGTCTGAAGCACCTACTTGGAGCAAGCGTAGCAAAGCACAAGGACCGCGGTTCTGTCCCCCAGCACCACATGCCGGCCGGCCCCGCCCCCTGGTGGGCTGAGCTGGCCACACACACACAAACACATAAAATAAAATAAAAAAAAAAAGACTTTAAAAAAAAAGATAGCTTAGTGGACTAAGTGCCTTATAGGCAAATGCAGGGACCGGGGTTCAATCTCCAGCATCACATGCTGCACCAGCACCAACACCAGGCCAACCACCCAGGTGCACTGAGTGGGCCACCGAGACCAGGTATGGTGGTACACACCTGTAATCCCAGTGCTGGGGAGGCTGAGAGTCCAGGCTACATAATGAGACCCTATACCAAATACATTTAAAAAAAAAAAAAATCAAAGATAGAATAGGTAAAACTCTTGAAGACATTTGTGTAGACAAAGACTATATGAACAAAACCCCGATCACACAGTAACTATCAAAAAGAATCAACAGAAGCCTTTTTACCAAGATGGCGCCGAAAGCAAAGAAGGAAGCCCCTGCCCCTCCCAAAGCTGAAGCCAAAGCAAAAGCTTTGAAGGCCAAAAAGGCCGTGCTGAAAGGCATCCACAGCTACTAAAAGAAGATACGAACGTCGCCCACCTTCCGCCGTCCCAAGACGCTGCGGCTCCGGAGGCAGCCCAAATACCCTCGGAAGAGCGCCCCCAGGAGAAACAAGCTTGACCACTATGCCATCATCAAGTTCCCCCTGACCACAGAGTCAGCCATGAAGAAGATTGAGGATAACAACACACTCGTGTTCATTGTGGATGTCAAAGCCAATAAGCACCAAATCAAACAAGCTGTAAAGAAGCTCTATGACATCGATGTTGCCAAGGTCAATACCCTACTCAGGCCTGATGGAGAGAAGAAGATATATATGTTCAACTGGCTCCTGATTATGATGCATTGGATGTTGCCAACAAAATTGGGATCATCGGGGCCGGGGAGATGGCTCAGTGGAATAAGTGCTTCCTCGGCAAGCACAAGGGTCTAAGTTCAATCCCCGGTTCCGCCAAAATAAATAAATAAATAAATAAATAAACAAAATTGGGATCATCTAAACTGAGTCCAGCTGGCTAATTCTAAATATATACTTTTTTCTCAGTAAAAAAAAAAAAAAAGAATCAACAACTGGGATCTTATCTTATTAAAAAGCTTTTGCGGGCTGGTGAGATGGCTCAGTGGTCTAAAGCACCTACCTAGAACAAGCTAAGCAAAGCACAGGGACCACAGTTCAATCCCCCAGCACCACATGCCAGCCAGCCCCGCCCCCTGGTGGGCTGAGCTGGCCACACACACACACACACACACACACAAATAAATTAAAAAAAAAAAAAAGCTTTTGCACAGAAGGAGGAACCAACAGAGTGAAGAGACTGTTAACGCACAATGTGGGAAAAAATGTTTACCAGCTGTTTCTCAGACAAAAGATTATCATCAAGAACATGTAGGGCCACAGAGATGGCTTAGTGAAGGAAGCACTTCCCTGGCAAGCGCCAAGGGCCTGAGTTCAATCCCTGGTTCAGCAAAAAATAAAATAAAATAAAATAAAATAAAATAATATGTAGGGCTGGGGAGATAGCTCTGTGGTCTAAACGTCTGTCTGGTAAATTCATGGACTGGAGTTCAATCCCTAGTACTGCATGCCGTGCTGGCCCCAGAACCCCAGGCGTGCCATGCCAGACACTGAAAACAGATGTGGTAGTGCACAGCTGTAATTCCAGCACTGATGAGACCAAGACAGGAGGATCACTACTAATCTGAGCTACATAGTGAAACCCTGTATTTTTTTTTAATGTCTTCAGTACAGGGTCTATAGGGTCTCATTACAGATTGGACTAGTAGTGATCCTTCCTGTTTTTCAGCCTCCCAAGCACTGGGATTACTGGCACACACCAAGCCCAGTCTCATTCACTGTCTCAGTGTGCTCCAGAGGTGGGGCTGGCACAACATGCTGGGAATCTGACCACTGGCCGCTGCATCTGCCTAAGCAGGCACTTTAATCCTATATCTGGCCGGCCTGAAACCCTGTATTCAATAAATAAACAAACGAACATGTACAGAACTCAAAAAAAAAAAAAAAATCAGACCTCCCAAATTTAAAGACCCAATCCCAAAATGGGCACCTGAGGAGACCAGCAAGATAGGTTAGTGGTCTAATGCGTCTGTTTAGGTAAGCGCAGGGGACCGAAGTTTGATCCCCAGCACCACACGCCATGCTAGCCCTGCCCTCAGGGTGGGCTGAGCTGGCAAAAAACAAAAATGGGCACCTGAGATGAACACACACTATTAACTGGATAACATACCCATTCTTTATCATGCATTACCCCTAGAGGCCCCCAAAATTAGCCTAGTCAGTACCAAGTAAATCTTTCACCTTCTAGACACCTAAGTTTACTTTTTGCCAACTCCCCACCTTCTTTCCCAATCATCAGACCATTCTGCTGCCTCTTCAAATCTTATCGTCATAGCAGGTCCAACTGAAACCCCTTCCTTTCTCAACAGTGCCAATTCACCTGACAAATGAACACATGCTTCCTTCTGACATCTCATACAATTACTTCACTCTTGTACCCTTTGGCTTTTGTGTTAAAATCTTGTATATCTAGTTTCACTAAACATTCCTTAAAGTTTATACCATATCAACATGTATGTATGTTCCCACTAGATCCAATAGGGTTTGTGTAGCGCTCATCTCTTAAAGGTCACTGAGGTGACGCCCCACCCCATACCTAACAATGTTACTCACCACTTCACTTTGCACGTCTGTGTGTTCCACTCCACAATATGCTTATCATCTGAACAGCTATATAAGCAGCCACTGTCTTGATGCCACTGTATGCAATTGACTCTGTTGTCATGACCACCACTCTGCAGATTAAAAAATTTAAAGAAAAACAAATTTGTCTTATATGATAATGTGAATCCTAGAGTCATCACCAGTTAAACAAAATGTCAGCCACATGCCGCGCCCAGGCAGCTGAGCCAGCCACCAAGACCAGGTGTCATGGCACAAGTCCTGTGATCCCAGCACTGGGAAGACTAAAAACACGAGGATCACTACGAGACTGAGCAGTCTCAGCATCGCAGTGAGACGCTGCATCACATATGTTTAAAAAAAAAGGGTCAAGCCTTAACCTGTATCTATTCATTTTAATTTTCCTAAATTTCCTATTCAGTTTTCAAACCTGCGATAAAACATCTGGAACATCAAAATAGAAACTTTCCCTTCTCTGTAAGAAAAGCATACCTCCACATTCTATTTTTTTTTGTTCATTTGTTTGTTGTACCGAGGACTGAACTTAGGACCTTACACTTGCTAGGCAGGCACTTATGCCATTGAGCTATCTCCCTGGCCCCAACCACCACATTCTAAATCAAAGCGTACTAGACTTAAATGACATTTTTCTCTTGACAGAAATGCCAAGTCTAAGTCAAATGACTGGATACAAACACAACTTTTGTTTTTGTTTTGTTTTGATTTGGTTTGGTTTGCTTTTTGTGTTTTGAGACAGGGTCTCACTTAGGCTGGCTCTGAACTCACTAGTGAGGCTACACTGGCCTCAAACAGCAATTCTCCTTCTGCTTTAGCTTCCCAAATGCTGGATTACAGGCATGTGCCACCACACCCAGCAAAATCAACTCTCAAAAGGTAAAAATTTAGTTAGAAAATATCTCTTAGAAAAACTACTAGGGGCCGGGGAGATAGCTCAGTGGAATAAGCACTTGCCTAGCAAGCAAAAGGACCTGAGTTCAATCCCTGGTTCCGCAAAAAAAAAAAAAAAAGAAAAAAGAAAAAGAAAAAGAAAAACTACTAGAAAACAGCACACATACATAATCACAGCACCGTGAGAGCCCGAAGCAGGATGCCAATTTGCAGCCAAGCCTGCCTGTCTTCAGAGACCTGGTCTTTCATAAGAAATGGGGTGGAGTAGGCTATAACTCAACTGTCAAGGTCTTGGATTCAATCCCCAGTAATAAAAATAAACAAAAATTGAAGAAGTCAGGCAACAGCCGCACACGTCTATAATCTGATCACAAGTTTAAGGCCAGTCTAAGTTACAAAGCTAACTCAAGGCCTGCCTGAACTACAGTAAAACCTTGTCTCAAAATACAAAATGAGCGTAAGTGAGATAGCTCAGCAGTCTAAAGCACCTGCTTAGACAAGTTTAAGCAAGTGCACAAGGTCTGCTGGTTCAATCCCTGGCACCACATGCCAGCGCCAGCCCTGCCCCCAGGATGGGCTGAGCCAGCCAGACACACACACACACACACACACACACACACACAGAGAGCCAAACCTCTCTATTTATTTATTTACTTATATTTTTTTGGTGGAACCAGGGACTGAACTCAGGCCCTTGCGCTTGCCAGAGAAGCGCTTATTCCACTGAGCCATCTCCCTGGCCCCTCTTCTTTTCAATTTAAAAAGAAAAAAACCTTACTATTTCTTCAGATAAGGGCACATTTTCAGGCCACACCATCTGAAAGCACTTTAAATAGATACCAGCACACCAAGATGTTCCTTTACTAGAAGCAGAGAGTGAAGATCACTGTAACAGAAACCTTGACAGATGAAACTTTTTATGTGATTTTCTATTTACATTTAGAAATTGTCTTCATGGCTGGGCATGGTGGTACACACCTATAATCCCAGCACTTGGGAGGCAGAGGCAAGAGAATTGCTCCAAGTTTGAGGTCAGCCAAGACTACAGAATGAAACTGTCTCAAAAAAAAAAATTAAAAAGTTGGGGGTGGTGGCACACACCTATAACCCTAGCATCTGGAAGGCTAAAGTAGGAGGATCATTATAAGCTTGAGAACAGCCTGGGCTAACAAAGTGAGCCTGAACTTCATACGGAGACCCTTTCTCAAAAAGACAAAAAACGGGGCCGGGGAGATGGCTCAGTAGAATAAGCACTTGCCTGGCAAGCGCAAGGGCCTGAGTTCAATCCCCAGTTCCACGAAGAAAAAAAAAGATTACTGCTGTTTCTCATTTCACAAACATTCCAGGACAAACTCACTCAGCAAAATGAGGTGCTAAGTCATGTACTTAGTAACTATTTTCACTCTTTGTACCTAATTCCAACAAATACACATACAGTTAAGCACCACTGCATACATACCTAACAATAAAAATCATAGAAGGTACTTTCAAATAAAATTACTGCTTGAAAAAAAAGTCTTAAAACATTAAGATGTTACTTCCCTCTTCAGCTGGCTATTCGTAGAAGTCCTGTATTTTACCTATGTGTGCACACACAAAGCACAAACACAAACACTCCACAGAAAAAATTCAGGTATGTCAAGTGGATTCAACTATTCTTAGTAACCAAAAACAAGCCAAAATGTAGCCTTTTAAGTCTGTTTATCTAGCAATCTGCTTAGTACTGTACTATCCAAGTTGATGAGATTATAGTTGGTGGGGGGGACAACATAAGACATAGCTAGAGGCAGTGTTGAATCAGCATAGCCTTTCAGAAAGCAATCTGCGGGCTGGTGAGATGGCTCAGTGGTCCAAAGCACCTACTCAGAATAAGCTTAGCAAAGCACAGGGACCACGGTTCAATACCACATGCCAGCCAGCCCCGCCCCCTGGTGGGCTAAGCTGGCCACACACAAATAAATAAATAAATAAATAAAATTTAAAAAAAAGAAAGCAATCTGCCCATGTGGCCCCTTAATCAATCAACCAACATTTACTAACTACAGATCATTCACTTTCAATATAGTTTATGTCCAAGTCTTACTAAAGTTATACAAGCTATACAAGGTTATAAATAACCACTTCAAAGATGAGAAATTAAATTATCCACAATCACATAAGCAGGAGAATGCAACTTCAGGCTAGACTAACTGCAAAGCTTAGTCCCTTTCCATTTCACTGTAGCACTCCGACATTCCTTACCCTGAACACAGGGAGACTCTTATCTCAAAATCAAAAATTTTAGTTGAGCAAAATAAATAGCTATTCATCCCAGCATTCAGAAGGCTGAGGCAAGATCACCATGAGACTGGGAGTGGTGGTGCACACCTATAATTCCAGTGCTTGGGAGGCTGAAAACAAGAGAATTATTACAAGTCTGATCTATGTAGTGAGACTCTGTAGACCCTTTACTAAATACATTTAAAAAAAGATCACGAGTTTGAAGCCAGCCTGGACCACACAGTGAGACCCTGTCTCAAGAAATAAAAACAAAAACAGAAGTATTTGTAATACCAAAGTACTAAAGGTATACAAGAAAAAATTTTAGGCTCCAACAGTATCATGCCTGCAGCCACACATTGCATAGGATACTAGATACCTGGTACCCCCAAACTGTCCAAATCACAGGTGGGC